TCCTTTCATTTGTCTCCCAATTCTTTTCATTTGTCTCCCAGGCTGGGCGCTTGTGGTCGGGTTCCCGGCTGGCTTGTCTCCCACTTCCTTTCATTTGTCTCCCAGTTCTTTTCTCCCAGCTCTGGGCTGCTGCGGCCGCCTCTGCCTTGCAATCCTTTGTCTCCCACCTCTGGACGTCGCAAGCTCTAGTTTCGATTTTGAAAACACAAACTGTTTGGGGTCTACGGTGGTGTAATTTTGCATGAGGTCCATCAACCTCCTTGGCTCGGACGCCTACGTCGGCATCTCAACAAAACCATTTCCTGCTCTTCTTCTTGAACAGCAGTCTGTGCAGGTGGTCGCGGCACCCCTACTGCCGGAACAGGGAACCGCTCTGGTATTACCATTTGGTATGATATTTGAGCAGCTCGATCATTGCCCACACGTGCACACAGCTGCTCTTCCAACAGAAGCACCAGCAGGAGCACGTGACTTGTTGGCTTCTCTTGTTGGTCTGCGTTCACTTTTGAAGTGCGATTCTCTGGGCAAAGAAACGTCTCCTTCCACAGCGGGAGATGTGCGTCTCCGGAGGCTAATTGAACAGTCTTCTACCAGGGGTGGGAGTTCATGTCGAGGACAGGAAAGGGGAGTCAACTGGATGTGAAAAGTCCCACTACTCTGTTTTCTTCTGCCCAATATGAGTGGAAGGGATTGCGCGAAATCATGTGACCCAACGCGGGCAGCAGAGAGAAGAGAACGCAAGCTCTGAGTTGCGCGAAGCGAGGAGTGCGTCGCTCAGCGCTCTGGAGAGAATGTGACCTGTAGAGGATAGGAGAGGGAAGGGGACAAAGTCAAAGGAAAAGAGGTCAGGGAAATAGCAGGAAAGTGAGATGCGCGTCTCTCAAAGCACGCACCTGCTGTCGCATTTTCGTCAAATAGACCCAAAAAGGTGGGACAACAAAGAAGCATTCCCAAGTCCTTTTTGTTGAGACATGGGAGAAGGAAGAGAAGGCAGACACAATGACCAACAAGAAGGGAGAAAAGAACGCAGACAAAAGGAAACAGAAGGGAGACAAGAATGACCAACAAGAACTGAGACAAGAAGGGAGACAAAAGGAAGATAGGAGACAAAGCGAAACAGAAGGGAGACAAGACGGGCACAATGACCAACAACAAGGGAAGGAAACAGAAGGGAAACAAAATGGACACAGTGACCAACAAGAAGGGAGACAAGAAAGGAGACAAAGGGAAACAAAAGGGAAACAGAAGGGAGACAAGAATGACCAACAAGAAGGGAGACCATCAGTGCACTGCTGCCTGGGGCGATTGCACAAGGTGATCAATGAGCCTCGGAACCAGCAGGGCTTCAATGAAGATGATGAGGAGGACAACTCCACATCGGTGGATGAAGATGGTGAGGCCGAAGATTCGTTGGCCGCGCTACATAGCTTGAGGAAGCGACATCCTCGGGCACGGAGTGCTGAAAGCACTATGTCAAGGAAGAGCTCTATGCCCATGCCTACTGGGAGGCGATCGGGCTCGGCAGGTGGCTCTGTGTCCAAGCCTACTAGGAGGCGATCGGGCTCGGCAGGCCGCTCTTTGTCCAGTCCCACAAGGACAAGAACAAGCAGTGATGTTGCTGAAGCGGTAAACAAAGCCGCGGGTGGTGCTGAAGAGGCGGCAGTGAACGCTCAACTCGCCGCTCAGGCTGCTGGCAGGGCAGCCGCAAGTGTGGAGCATGCTTCAATGATCCTCCACAACACCATCCAGGGACCGATGAAGGCACCTTTGAGCTCTGGTGCATCCACTGTGCCAGTGAACCCCTGGAATCGGTTCCAGCAACAGCACGCCCGAAAGGGTTCGACAAAAGAGAAGATGCGAGCGGAGTATATATTACAAGGCAAAATGCCAGTGCACACCGCCTTGAGTCGAGGCATTTTGCCGGCTACAGCTTTTTTCGTCAAGGACCAAAAGGGGGAGTCTGAAAGATTCCAAACGGTGAGACCACCGAACGAAGGCATTTTTTGTCCAAGAGAAAAGAGTGCCTCTGTTTCAAGCCTAGAATATCGCAACATCACAAGGCCAAGGCAGCAAGCACCTCCCGTCGTTACAGTCCTCCTTCCTACACCCAAAACCCTATTGGACGGAACCGACCCCTGTGCCCTCCCGCAGACCGAAGTACGCTGTGTACCCCACCCCATCGGGTTCTTCCTGAAAAGCATCGGTCGCAGTCCAGGATGGTCTGGAGGCGATGGGCAATCGTCAAGCTGGTGGCCCCTTGAAAACATCGTCGGATCGCCAGCTGAATCTCCTTGAGAAAGACCCCAAACCAGACCGGGTCGCACGAGAGGTCGAGAGAGGTCGGAGGTGGGTGAAAACAGAGCGCTCAGGGCCGTCCTTTTTCAAGTTGCTACTCAACAAAACACGCATATCAAGTTCCTCTTCGCGCAACCTCTTGAGGTTTCCCAGTTGCTGTCACAAAAAGGTCCACAAAAAGAAAAAACGAACGGGAAGAAGCTGGTTTTTCTTTGTTTTCGGGCAATAGCATCGGGTCTCCTTCGGTGACTCTGTGGGTGCATACTGAAAAGAGAGAGAGCTCCCTTCGAAAAAAAAGAGGAAGAAGGACATCCAAAGCCATATGGAAGTCTAGTTCGACGATGTTGGGCTCCACTGAAGTCAAGGAAATCGTTGGAACTCGGGTCACCCAGAATGACTTCGAACGGGTCGACAGTCCACTGGACTTCCAGGGCACATGGTGGAAACATCCCTCCCCCAAAATCGCTCGCGGCCAAATCTCTGCATCGGTTTGCGCGTCGATCGCCGCGGTGGCTTCATCCAAGACCACCAGCTTGGAGCGCCGAAGCACGGCCCGCGCGATGGCGACCATCTGCCGCTGACCCACCGACAAGTTCTGGCCGCCCTCCTTAATCCTCAGGCGCCCAACACACACGGCGCTCCGGGTCGGGTCGAGGGAGTTGCTTTCGCGAGCGACGCCGCGAGTCGGCTGGTGGCCTTCACTTCAGCAGTCTCCATCCATCTCCGACCAAACGGGAAGATTAGAGGGGTCAGTGCCAGGTACCACGGGCCGAACTTGTTTGTATAAGGCCATGATCTCCATGTCCATGAGATGGGTGGCCAACCCACCCCCGCCAACACCACCATGGCGTTCGGGTGGCCTTGGGATAGCCAACCAAGGCTGTCTTGGGTTCAAGGTCGGAGGGACTCCGAGATCAGGCCATCAAGAAGCCCAAGTCCAAGTGACAGGATTCAAGTTCTTAGACACTTGAACGTCTTCATTCAACCCAAAGGATGAGCAAATGACATCCGCGTTTTCCGAAGAAAAAACAGGGTGAATGACCCAACAGGCACCGCCGTGCCCAAAACAACAAGATGCTCAAAGCAGACACCAAGCGCAAACTTGTAAATGGACAAAACACTGGGTGATCATTGCTCAACTGGCTACGGAATGCTATGGGCTATGGATCAATCCCCCCTCACCCTCACTCACACCCGCCTCCTTGCTTCGCCCCGTCAGAGTACCTTCCGTGGAAGGACGCCTTCTCGGCCTTCCCCGTTGTCCACCGCGGCATGTCAACTACTCCATTCCCATGGCCCTGTGAGGGCCCGTGATGGCTCGTGAGCTGTGCCGGAAAAAAAACAGGGGTTCCCCCTTTTTTCGACCCCCAAATGGATGTCAAGGACTTGGAGTCGTAAGCCCTCTGACGAAAAAGCCGAGACTCTCCAAGGACAAGCACTTCTCCTTGGACTCCTCTCGCCCAAACTGCTCTCGAACCCAGCCAGCCAGCTGCGCTTCTTCCAGCGCCATCCAAATGTCGTCGCTGCGGTGCTCGTCGAAGGGGTCGCAGTTGTAGCGCAGGGTCTCCTGTCCCCACACAAGAGTCTGCACACGACGCACACGAGGCACACGGCTTCAACGACCTGTTTCTGTTGAGGCACTTGCCTTCAGGGGTCAGCTGCAGGTCCTGGCCGCTTGATCGACCGACCTGGGGGGGGCATCGTCCAGGGAGTTTCCCATGTAACCGGTCCAAGGGTCCCGGTCCTGGTCTCAAGTTTCTTCTGTCTTAGGACTGCGGAACCGCGTGCGGAACCGCGCGAGGCTCGCTCGTGTTGGTCTTGTTTGGGGCCTTCTTGGGCTTTCTTCAAGCCCACTATAGCTCTCCCCGACGTGCGGTTCTAAGAGGCTCGTGTTTTGGTCTTGTTTGGGGCTTTCTTGGGTTTTCTTCAAGCCCACTAGCTCTCCTGGAAGAGCACAGGCTCTTGTGGAATCATCGCAATGCCCCGCCGCAGATCCTGCAATCCCAGCTGCAGCATGTCCTGCATGAGCTTTGATCCCAACGTTAGCTGCAATCAACACCCTATTAACAACCCACACAACTACTTTGGGGATCGAACAATGAGAGATCTAAAAATATATATATATATTCAAATGAACCGTAATGAACCCTCCAGGCCTCCAGGCACTTCAGAAACCAAAGAAAATGATACCAAACATTTTTTCCCCAACAGACCCCCACCAAAACCCTGATCACACCCCCACCCTCCCCACCCTCCTCACCCTCACCTCCCCATCCAAGCGCAGCTGCGACCCCGTCTGCGGCTCCACGATCCGCAGCAGCGCCAGCAGCAACGAGGACTTCCCCGCACCCGTGCGGCCCACGACGCCCAGGCGTTCGCCGGGGGAGGTGACGAAAGAGAGACCCTTGAGGACTAAGGGCTGATCCACCTTGTAGCGCACCTGACCGCAACTGATTCTTGGATGTTGGGGGTTTGGGGGGAAGGGAAGTGATCAAACGATGAGGATGAGAAACGAAGAAAGGACGAAACTATGGACTATGGAGAAATTGATAGTTGAAAAGGAGTTTGAAAGTGATTTAGCCCCTGAAAGGTTCACTGAGAGACTCGAAGAACCTCATGTTGAAGGTCCTGGGACACAAACATTTCCTGTCTCAGACTTGGATTCAATCTGATACCAAAAACCACGAACCTTAAAGCTTTCCAAAGCCCCCAACCATTGTTTTACACTCCCAACCGTTTCTGTGAAGACTCGACCAGCATACTTGTACTTATATACGTACAGTCTGCCAGCATAGACCCACTGAGCAGAAGATATTTGCAGGCGGCAGCAGCACCCTGCAGCGGCTCCCTGCAGCCGCACCAGCACACAACCATGGACAGCGGCACCCTGCGGCGGCACCCACGCCTGAGCTTTAAAGCGCACACAGCAGAACCCCCGAGCGGCACCCGCACCCAAGCTCCACAGCTCACGGCCATAGACATCTCGCAGCAGCACCCTGGGTCGGCACCCTAGGGCGGCACCCTGCAGCGACACCTGCACTCAGGCTCCAAAGCGCACACAATCACCTCTTCCCACACTTGAATATCAAAGATGCATACAGTCATACAGCTAAGTGCCACACATGCTGCCACATGCTCTATCAAGAAACTGTAACACCCTTCTTTTCATCACGGGCACAGGGTCTGAATGAAGACCAAGCAGTGAAGGCGAAAGGATTAGCATTGGTCGAAATCAGCCAACGAAAGGAAGGCCCTTGTGCTTCAGGCCGGATGCAATTCAATTCCCAAGCACCCTTTGCGCTTCGGTCAAGTGCGGCTCACCACCTAATGCAATGAATCCTCATTGCATTCGCTACAAAAATGGTGAGAGGGGGGCACTGAGCGTGTGATGTGGGGGCACGGAGCCTCTCCGTGTAGGCTTAGGGAGGTGGGCTTACTGTAGGGACGTGGGCTTCGGGACGAATCTGCGATGCCCTTGGACCGCCATTAGGCCGGACCCAGGAAACACTCCTGTCCTGTCAATTCGATACATGTGTTCTGCCAATCCAGAACATCAAAGTAAGAACTGGTCCCCATGACATCAGCACAAGATTGGCCAGTTCACCCAATCATAGGCCCCCTACCACCAGCACGGGGTGAGTTGCTCACCTCACCTCCACCCACCATCGGCGCTTCGCAATGGGCGCCTTCAAGTCTTGGACCTCCAAACGTCCTTGGCTCGGCCAACCCCTCGGCGGTCGAGCCACGCCGATGCGTGCGGCTTCCTGCGGCAGCTGCGTGGCATAGAACTGCACGCGCTCCTCGGGCATGGACGTTCGCGTGTGGACGCCCAAACACGAATCCTTTGGGAGTCTTGGGAGCTGCAAGAGTTGCGAAGCATAGCCCGAAGTGGAATGACGGAATGGCTTGAACAGTAGCCATAAAGCGTTGGGTTCGTCGAGATACAATGTGTCGTAAAATGGGATCAACTTAAATGTTCCAAAAAGGGAATGAATAGGTTCGTGTTTTTGTTGCATGCTGCATCTCTATTCTTATTATCTCCTATTTATACCTCCTCGAAACTCTTGACTCAGTCTTCCCCAGTCGAGCTTCGCTTTTGGGGCAAAGCGACTTGGCCAGTACTTTGCCATCCAGGGTCCGAGGATGAAGGCAACTCCACCAACATCACCATGACCCTCCTCTTCCCAACATCTCCAAGAAACCACGGCATTGAAGGCAATGCCGAACTCCGCGATCTGCCCAATGAGCGACTCGATGCTGCCGGTGCACTCGCCTGGAAGACGACTGCGGACTTCTGAAGAAGGCGGGAACTGGAAGCCTCTTGTATCCACGACTCAGTGAACACTGACCCCATGCTGCTTGCGAATGCTAGAAATGCATGGAAATGACCAAAATACCCCCCCCCACCTTCCGGTGAGTTGTTGTGTTCCACAACATCAGCCTTACCACACCATCAGCCCTCAGCCCGGGTCACGGGTGTCACGGGTGTCACGGCTACCTCTTGGACTCCCCAAAGGACCACGGTCCCTCCACTCACGGTCCACTCACGGTCCACTCCTGCAAAGTTCAGCACCAGCGCCGCTGCGGAGGCTTGGATCAAGGAGCCGCGACCCAGGGTGACGAAGAGCGACACCAACAAGAGTAGCAAGCATCCCAGGTGGTCGATACGCAAGGAAAACCACTGTGACAAATACCTCACACGTGTGTCTCCGCAAGAGCAAAGAAGGAGGCTTTAGGTGGTTCTAGGTCCCTGAGGTCCCTGAAGAGGGGCTTCAAAGGGCTAGAAATCAGGTGCCTCTGATCCACTCATGTCGACAGACTGGGACATCAATGCTTGGACATCTTGGATCCTGAAAACTACCCAGACCCCAGCAGTATTGACGTAGTCTACCCACCAGGTAGACAGGACTCACTGGACCTGCTCCTTCGCCTCCTTGATCAAGTTCATTCTAGTTCAACTTGCAGATGGACTACGCCAACAAAACAGCAAGTCTCAGGAGTTCTTCAACCACCCCCACGAAAAATGTCCTCGGTAGTTTCGGGAAACATGCCTTTCGGGTTTCCAGGTTTCTTTTGTGCTTCGTAGTCTTGAAAATCTTGTGAAGGTGTCTGTCCGGTCCATCGGAGATATTCGCCGGGCAGAAAAACGAAAACGAAGAAACCCGCCAGCTAGCCCAAAATAGCCGCAAAAAACCGCCAGCTAGGGCCACTGGGTTTTCAGGAACATCAAGATTCAACCAAAGCCATTGCAAAAATCTTCAGTGCGGAACCAGATCCCTTCCTAGCACCGTCTCCCGTCACAGGGACTCCCGTTGCGGCCTCCACGGCCTCAACCCGCAGCTCCGGAGCTCAAGGCTCAGGCCGTGACCGCCCAACCCCCCCCTCCCGGTCTGGCCTGGCGACCCGGCCCCAAACAATACAACGAGAAAAAACCACTCCAGGCCACATCTGCGAGTAGTCCGCCCGCTGCTGCTCCGCCAGCAGATGATCGCTCAGCGCGCACTGCGGCTCGGCCTGGCGGAAGGCGCGCACCACGGCGATGGCGTTCTCGCGGCAGAGGTTGTTGAAGTGATCGTAGACCGGGCCTCGGCACCGATGGAGACCCGTCGTCCGACCGTTCGGGGGGCCACCGACGGAGTCCGACGTGGGAGTCCGAAAGGCGACGGTCAAATGAGGTCCTTGGACCGGCAGGGTGGGAAATGGCTTGCCGGGGGAGACGAAACCGAGCACAGGCACGTGCGACCCGGTTTCAAGGCACGATGAAACCAGGACATTCCAAGGCTTATCTCTCCAGCTGAGACCAAGACATCCACACACCCCTCCGACCCGACTGTAACACATCTATAGTAAAATTTGCAACATGATTGACCTATCGGATCCACCCCACTATAAATCAAGAACAGAACTGCAGTACCCTCATGTCATGCCAAAGACGAGCAGAATCATGTCCACAAAAGTGAAAAAGAGGGGATGCAGAATGCAGAACAAGCCATGCACATGGTGATGAACGAGGCGCTTGAAAAACAAGATGGAGCCCACGAACCCGAATGCAAACCACGACACTCTTGTAGGACACTCTTGTGGGACACTCTTGTGGGTCACTCTTGTAGGAAACTCTTGTGGGACACTCTTGGGACACTCTTGTGGGACACTCTAGTAGGACACTCTTGCGGGATACTCATACGGGACACTCTTGTCGCACACTCTTGTAGGACACTCTTGCGGGGGAAACTCTTGTCGGACACTCTGTGAGACACTCTTGTAGGACGCTCTTGTAGGACAATCTGGTGGGTCACTCTTACAGGACACTCTTGTAGGAAACTCTTGTAGGACACTCTTGTGGGACACTCTTGTGGGACACTCTTGTGGGAAACTCTTGTGGGGGACACTCTTGTGGGACACTCTTAGGGGACACTCTGGTGAGACACTCTTGTAGGACACTGTTGCGGGACACTCTTGTGGGACACTCTTGTGGGACACTCTTGTCGGACATTCTTGTGGGACACTCTAGAAGGACACTCTTGCGGGACACTCTTGTAGGAAACTCTTGTGAGGCACTCTTGTACGACACTCTTGTGGGACACTCTTATAGGACACTCTTGTGGGACACTCTTAAGGGACACTCTTGTGGGACACTGTGGCGGGACACTCTTGTGGGACACTCTTGTGGGACACTCTTACGTGACACTCTTGTAGGACGCTCTTGTGGGACACTCTTGTAGGACACTCTTGTGGGACACTCTTACGGGACACTCTTACGGGACACTCTTGTAGCACGCTCTTGTAGGACACTCTTGTGGGACACTCTCGTAGGGCACTCTTGTGGGACACTCTTGTGGGACACTCTGGTAGGAAACTCTTGTGGGACACTCTTGTAGGACACTCTTGTGGGACACTCTTATAGGACACTCTTAAGGGACCTAAGGGACACTCTTGTGAGACACTCTTGTGGGACACTCTTGCAGGACACTCTTGTACGAAACTCTTGTCGGATACTCTTGTAGGACACTCTTGTGAGACACTCTTGTGGGACACTCTTGTGGGACACTCCTGTGGGACACTCTTGTGGGACACTCTTGTGGGACACTCTTGTGGGACACTCTTGTAGGAAACTCTTGTGGGACACTGTTGTGGGACACTCTTGTGGGACACTCTTAAGGGACACTCTGGTGAGACACTCTTGTAGGACACTGTTGCGGGACACTCTTGTGGGACACTCTTGTGGGACACTCATACGGGACACTCTTGTGGGACACTCTTGTGGGACACTCTTGTAGGACGCTCTTGTGGGACACTCTTGTGGGCCACTCTTGTGGGCCACTCTTGCGGGACACTCTTGTAGGAAACTCTTGTATACTCTTGTAGGACACTCTTGTTGGACACTCTTGTTGGACACTCTTGTGGGACACTCTTGTAGGGCACTCTTGTGGGACACTCTTGTGGGACACTCTGGTAGGAAACTCTTGTGGGACACTCTTGTAGGACACTCTTGTGGGACACTCCTATAGGACACTCTTAAGGGACCTAAGGGACACTCTTGTGAGACACTCTTGTGGGACACGGTTGCGGGACACTCTTGTGGGACACTCTTGTGGGACACTCTTATGGGACACTCTTGTCGGACATTCTTGTGGGACACACTCTTGTGGGACACTCTTAAGGGACACTCTTGTGAGACACTCTTGCGGGACACTGTTGCGGGACACTCTTGTGGGACAATTGTGTGGGACACTCATTTGGGACACTCTTGCGGGACACTCTTGTGGGACACTCTTGTGGGACACTCTTAGGGGACACTCTTGTGAGACACTCTTGCGGGACACTGTTGCGGGACACTCTTGTGGGACACTCTTGTGGGACACTCTAGTAGGACACTCTTGTGGGACACTCTTGTAGGACACTCTTGTGGGATACTCCTGTAGGACACTCTTGTGGGACACTCTTGTGGGACACTCTTGTAGGGAACTCTTGTGGGATACTCTTGTAGGACACTCTTGTGGGACACTCTTGTAGGACACTCTTGTGGGACACTCCTGTAGGGCACACTCTTCGTACGAGACTTCCTCCAAAAGTCACGCTGCGAGGCTGCAAGACGAGCGTTTCGTACGAGACTTCCTCCAAAAGACACGCGTCAAGTCTCAAAAACGAGCGTTTCGCACGAGACTTCCTCCAAAATTCACACGTCAAGTCTCCAAAACGAGCGTTTCGTACGAGACTTCTTCCAAATGTCACATGTCAAGTCCCCAAAACGAGCGTTTCGTACGAGACTTCCTCAAAAACTCACATGTCAAAATCTGCAAAACGAACGTTTCGCACGAGACTTCCTCCAAAAGTCCAGCGGAAACACCCATCAGAGCACATTCATCACGCAGCCCTGCCAAGCAGTTTCGCGATTCCAGCCCCTCCAAACGACACCCGCTCACACGCCAATCCCAATGTGACAGCGACATTCCTCTACCACAACTCACAACCTCCCGATTCCCCGCGCCTGCCACGAATCTTTCCGCGTCCACACGTCTAACGCGCACAAAGTACTGCGCCTGCCACGAAATGTCACCTCCGTCACACATCGCAACCTCACGATTCCCTGCGCCTGCCACGAAAATCCCACTTCCGCACCTCAAAGCCCGCACCAAGTCCTGCGCGTGCCACGAAAAGTAACAATGTCATCTCATGTGAGCTTCAACAAAATTTGCACCACACCACACGTTTGGAATGATTTCGACCCGTTCTGAGCACACTCCCATCCACCAAAATCGGCACTTCAGCTGAGACCTGTCACGAAAACAGAGCTTCGATGTCACACCCTGAAACGCAAATCCCAATCGCACGGCCACATCCAGCACCCCAAAAACACGACTCTCCAAACGCTAATCCCAATGGAACTGCGCAGCAATCTGCAGATCTCACCAACCTGTGCAGCGAAACGCATCACGTTGCTTGCGCGACATGTCTTTTTCATGCAAATCACAAATGGAATAGCGGCGCAAACTGACATGTGACACATCCATGAAAAGTCACTTGCAAAAGCTTCCCCCAATGGCAGCGCCTTAGCGCTCCACCGCGAACGGTTGCGGACGGTTGCGGACGGTTGCGAACGGTTGCGGACGGTTGCGGACGGTTGCGGACGGTTGCGAACATAGAAACAACGGGTCGCGAACAAGGCTCTACCCCCAGACCCCCAGAGTTAAACCGAGAACCCTTCGCTACGCATTCGGGAAAAAAGACAAACCTCGCGATGAGAAAAAGCTGAAGTGGACCATTCAGGATTTCAGTTGGCTGCGTTGAACAAAAACTGGTTGTGGTTCCGAAATGCAATCGGTCCACCTGCTGTGATTTTCATGGAGAAATCCGTCCAAACATCTGCAGCTTCCTGTCAGCTGGGTCCAACTCTTCTTAACTCGAGGAACTTCCGCCAATTGGCTACTTGGAAGAGAACATAGATGGTCCAAAGCCAGAAGTTCCGAGGAAATGAACAACATCCTGCTGTCACAAGTTCTGACAGAACCCGCAAGTTGAGAACACAAGCATTCAGCAGCCAGTGACTGCCCCAAAAGAACCCACCCCTTCGTCCTGCCTTTTCCCTGACTTCATCCTTCAACGCCCAGGCACTGCTCTGGACCTTGGAGATTCGCTTCACATCCAATACCGCCTTGTTGTAGTACTTCCACCTCAAAGCACTCACCAGCAAGGAGAGGGGGCCATGCAAAAGGCCCTGAGATCAGGTGTCCCAACAAATCCGAATAAAAACAGCCTTGGGTCAAAAGGACAGCGAAGATCTTCGGAGGTTTCACCATCGAATGCTCAGTGGGGACTCACTGGGAGGTTTTCCGTGTGGACACGTGCGGCCAACTGGTGAGCCGGGCTTTTCCAACGGAAGACGGTTCCCTCAATGCCATCCAGCGACTTTCAGCTAGGCACGATCGCATCCGGTGGTGCTTTGCAACTTTGGGTGTTGGGGGGAGAACCAATTGAATTCCAACAAACTTGATATCTAAGCAAGCCCGGTTTGCAAGCAGTTGTAATTTGCACATCAACGACAAAAGAATCCAGCTTGTACCCAAGGTACAGCAAGAAGTAGAAATAGAAGGCAGGCAGGAAGGCCACGAACGCGCCATAAGCGATGCCACCCACCATGGCGAAGTTTCCCAACACGCTCAACAGAGGGACGAAGGTGAAGATCATCTGCCAAACCACCTCCTTGACCAGTGCTGTGATCATTGTATGTAAAAAAGAAGTTTTCGTGAACCGACTCGACTATCTGTCAAAGCACATGTCGTGCGAGACTTCCTCCACTAATGAAAGCAAAGCTATTCTGCGAGACGTCTTCCAAACGAGAAAGTTGAAGATCTCAAAACAAGCGTCCTCTTCTGTTCTTTACCGCCTTTACCTGCATAAGTCTGCTCTGCTGTACTCTGCTGTTCTGCTCTTTGCACGGCTAACTCTTCTCTTCTCTTCTCTTCTCTGCTCTGCTCTTCTGCTCTGCTCTTCTGCTCTGCTCTTCTCTTCTCTTCTCTTCTCTTCTCTTCTTTGAATGTCCGACTGGACTGTACTCTACTCTTCTGACGTTTAGATGTCTAAACATCCGTAACACAAAGGCTCCTCTTCTAAACATCCTTTGAACATCGTATATCTGCAAAACCACTCTTGGTGACAGCCCGTGATTCCCTGAAATCAGACCAATGATACACCGCCATGCATCCACCTGCTGAATCGATCGGCACTCAGCTTCTTGTTCGATCCGTCCCCCGCTCATGAGAGGTGTTTCATCCGGCTTTTCAGGGACCGGCAATGGGGGCCGTGCCCCAAAAATGGGGTTCAAGAATCACACGCTGCAAGCACCTCATACCGCAATTCCTCACCTTTTATCCAGTTGGAAAGGTTCTGCTTGGTCTGGGGGGGTGTTTCGTCCTTAGGAATCCTCGGCCAACAGAGACCCCCTCGGGGACGCTCCGATGAACGCGAGTGATGTGCGGTCCTTGTCAATCTCTGAGGTATCTTTGGAGAAGCGATTGATGATCCGCCCCTGTGGCGCCTCCTCGAAACGCGGTGGCGGCCATCATGCTCTGAGCAGGGACCGGTGTTCAATGAGCAGTACACAAGGGGAAGAAGTACAGGCGTTTTTCGAAGGAAGAAACCACTCGGATGCCAGGATTTCTCTCTGGTTTGAGGAGTCTATCTATCCCAAAATCGTTTCACAATGATCGGGTTTTTTAGATCAAATAGACCAAAAAAGAAAACCTGTAAGGATGACCCTTGTCCTCTACCAAACAGCTGGGTGAAAACCACTTCCATGGTTTCCCGCAAAACCCCCATCTCCTGGAAGAAGGACATGGGCGCATGGAGCACCGACTCGAACATCTGCCGATGCAGGCGCCGCGCTGCGCGGAAGCCGAAGATGTTGCCGCCCAGGTCGCGGCAGGTGCTCAAAACGACGACCACAATGGCCAGGAAGACGTAAATGCTCAGGTAGTGAGTAGTTTCACCTGCTTGTTCTTTCCCAAATAAAAGCAGGTCAATCCCATATCCAGTCCGGAAAAAAGGCAACAAATCTGGCCCAGCCCAGACCAACGTCTTGGCCCCGTGGAAAACCGTGAAGGGTCTTTTCTCGTCTTCGGTCGGCGGAGTCGATCGGTGGGTAGGTCGATGGTGTCGATGGGTGGTTGAAAGAAAACTAATGAAAACCGAGAACATGGAGTCCAACTGGGAAACAGAGAAAGATCGGTGGCCTCCCAGGAAAAGAGGTCAGAAGGCCGAGGCAGCATCTTTTTGAAGCGAAGTCCTGTGGGTCGTAAGAAAAGTCAGAAGTGATAGTGAAAAGTCTCAGTTCAGTTCAAATCATCCATCTTGTTTGACTGTTGCGAAAGATGGGATTGAGACTGGATGAGTCAGCAACCCCCATCCATCCCCATCTCCCCGGCCTTTAAACAACGTCTGACCAAAATCTTGGGGCTCACTGTCACAGCCACTTGGGTCCTCAAAAAACTTCAAAACACCTGCACCGCAACGAGGAAGGTCGTTGTCCATTTTTTGACCCCAAGGCATCGGTATCATGGGAGCCGCGGCGCTCGAAACTCGAAGTCCTAGCTAGCGCGCTTCCATTTCTTAAACGTCAATGTTGTTTTCCCACAACTAGATCGTTTTGCGGTACGCGAACCCTCACCCCCACACCGCACCTCGATCGAGGCTACCACTTTGAGACACAGCCGCGGTCCACGTCGCCAGCCAAATCGGCTGAAGAAGATTCACGATCTCCGAAAAAGTGTAGAGAGCCACCAGAAGTGAGACAGTGCGACAGCCGCCCATGGAGCGCAAGTAGTAAAAGAACACCTCTTTCTTCACTTGCCCCGTGGCGCGCTCCTCTTGTTTATCTTAAAAGCACGAGAAGTCTGGGAGTTCTTTCGATTCAAAGTAGGAAATCCATGTGCAACAAACATCGAGGATCCTCCTATTGAACGGAGAGTACAACTTGAGTACAACTGTGCGAGAAACATGCAGGATCTTCCAATTGAATTGAACATGTCACCGGCACTTTGCAAAGCAGACTCACTCCCTCCGCGAATGTGTGTGTATATATATAGTATATTAGCTATATATATATATATGGTATTCCAAGAACCATTGGTTCAATGGTCTGAATCCCAAGCAACCCTTGTTTTACGAATGTTCTTTTGAACCGCAAAACCCAGGTCAACCGAACTGATGGTCCTCCATGGTGTTTCCTGAAGGCCACACGCTTAGGCTTTTCTCACCTCTCAGACGGTTTCTCGAACCCCACGGGGACCCTGTGGACCGACCCCTTCGTTCCGCCGGGATGCCTGGAAAACCTGGAAAACCGGAAGAACACCTTCGAAAACATGCGCCTCCTGGGCCAAAGAACCCCGGGACCTCTCCTCTTCCGTGTCTTCCTTCGCTCCACCTTCCATCTCCTCGGTCTCTTCCGTCGCCACCGGTCGCGCCCCCTCCCCGCTGGTGGCGCGCGCCAGCAGCGGTGGTGCGGCGTCCAGACGGGGGGACGGGTCACTGGTCGGGGACTCGCCGGAGTGCTCGGGCTCCAGGCCTTCCGAAGGGACGCGAAGGAGGACCAGGACCATCCAACTACTTATATACATATATTTCTATATATATATATACATACTGTATATGTAGGTACCTCCAGTGGATACAAATTGGATGCTCCAGGGAGGAGCTGGTTCTTGTTGGTATTCAGAATGGGGTGGTGTGCACATTCGTTGAGGAAGGAGGTGTTGAGCTAACAAACTCCCCGAAAGCCCCAAAATGCCTAGCCCTGGTGTTTCTACAGACCTTGAGGTGAGTTCAGGATGTTCAGGAAAGGCCATGAAGCGTTTGGGAACTCTAGCGACCCACGGCCGTGTCCCTCATCTCAAACCGACCTGGGTGGATCCCCAATCGGGCGGGATCCCACCTGCCCCAGTCCTCATCGGAACAGGCACCGGTCGGTCGGTCGGAAAAGAAAAGATGTGGAGCACCGGTCGGTCGCCCCGCAAGGTCTAACAGGATGTCCGACCCAACATCCGACCCCCAAATTCCGGTCCGCTCAGCGTCTGCAAATCCTCACCTTGCGCTCTCAAAAGACCCTTCAAAATACGCGAGCTGCGCCGCAGCACATCATAGGGACCCATGGCAGAGATCTTCCCGTCCTCCCGCACGTGCAGCTGCTACACATCTTTTGATGCTGTTGACACACATCCAGCAAGTGTGGTCACTATGTGGATCGAATCAGTGCACGTTTTGAACCCAGGTCGGCCAGATGTGTTTGCAAGGGTGTCGAATGCCCAACTGATTTCTTTCATATCTCCTCAGGGAAAGACAATAGTACAGTCCCGAACCCTCAGCCAAAGCCTGCTTGGAGGTAGAAGGGCCCAAAAAGACCTTGGGATTCTTTCAAAGCTCCAGACTCATCCGATCAGATTATGGTGGACCCCAGTTCCACGCACACCTGGCTGACCAGCCACGGTCCGCGCAGGTGCGGCCTTTCGGTGGGATAGGGGAGTCGACCATGGGCCGAACCAGCGTCAACAGGATGGGGCTACCGGCTGGTGTACAGAACTCCACGCCTCGCTTCTTCGGCCGAGTCTAGCTCTACAACTTCGCTCATGGTGGCACGGCCGTCTCCGCTTCTCCCATCCTTCGGTTCATGGCACGGGAGCAGCTGGCGCCCAAACACCCGAATTCCACGCCCATCTCTGTCCGCCCGTCTCCTCCAAGACCAGCAGGAGGTCGCATGAGCTGGCAAACTCCAAACGATTCATGGCCACGATCCGAGTCCTCGAGCTCGGCGAACCGCCACCCGTGACCTGGTACGCCTTTTGGGGGGGGGCCATCCAAACATGTGAGTGGAAGAGTGGGAACACGTCAGGAATGGAGAAAAAAGAGGGTTTCGATCAACTCAGATCTGTTTGAATCGTTTGTGAATCGTTGATTCACAAAGGTCAACTCTGAAGGTGGGAACTCTTTGTGAATCAATTTGATCTGTTTTTGACCTTCAGGCAATGCCAATCCACAGCGCTGTGATTGTTTTTCGTACCACCACAACACCAACTGCCTGCCCGCGGGAGTTTTGGATAAAAACATCTAATCTAAGCCGACAAAAGTCACCTGACCTTTAAAAAAAATAGAATAAAAAATGAGTACATAGATCTACTGATCTACCTGAGGGAAGTTGGGCGAGACCCGAAGGGACTCGAAATGAAGGTCAGGCGTCTTTTTGCCCAAGAGCCCCAGGATTGCGTCTTCGTGGACACTCTTGGCCACATGCGCGTCCAACGCACTGTAGGGGTCATCCAGCAAAAAGATGCTACCTCACAGCAAGTAACCCACGTGACGAAGACGTGGTTGTTTTCCTCTTCCTAGCAAACTCTGTCTATGAAGGACTAATTACAGTATCAAAAAAAAGCCTTCAATGGAGCAAGATGACTGCTGTGGAGCCGATAGCAAGCTCGGGCCAAGCAAACCCTTGCCTTCTGTCCGCCACTCAATGCCACCCCCTTCTCACCCACACGGGTCTGATCCCCGCTGGCCAACTGCTCGAGGTCCGAGTTCAAACTGCAACATCGCAAGCACTCCGCGTAGTGTGCCTCGGAGTAAGGCTCCCCAAATAAGATGTTTTGCCGTACGGTGGCATTGAAGATCCATGGCTGCTGGGGCAGAAATGAGAGCGGCTTCTGATGGGACACTTCTGCAGCTCCAGAGTCTTCCTTGGGCATCTCACCTTAGCTGTGCGGCAGTTCTTCAACGACCATCCATCCAAACAAGCTTTTGGTTCGCCCTCTCCCGGCCTAAAAGTGCCTGAAGCAAAGAGCTCTTGCCAGCACCTGTCGCTCCCACGATGCCCACCATCGCACCCCTGGGCACCGTAAAGCTCAAGTCCCTCAAGTGGAAGGAGCGTCCTCTTGCTTCGGCGTCCGCATCCTCTCCCCGTTCGTCGTCGTCGTCTTCACTGCCACTGGAGGCATCTCCCTCATTCTCTCGAGCCGGGAACCGTCGACGAGTTGGGCGGGACTGGGTCGGGTGGGAGGAAGACGGAGAAGAAGGAGAACAGGGACTGGGTAGAACTTCCAAGCCGGACCTGAAACACCATCAACTCCCCTGCTGGATGTGTGAACAGATTCATGTGCATGAAACTAGTTTACATAATGATTAACTAATGTATAATGTATGCAAAGACTATTGCTTCGTCAGACAGGGCCAAAAGCCGTGCTGAGCATGAAGCCAAGTCAAACAGCTAGCTGCTAGCTCATGTAGCCCCGGCAGAATCAAGAGAACACAGTGGCGCCATGTGGAACCCTGCTCATGAACCATCTTTCATGACCCTGTGCCTCTCGCGTCCAGGTAAAGTTGGCCTTTTCAAAGACCACCACCGTCTGATCGTCCAAGACACTTCTCTGATTTCTATCCTCCAGTCCCTCTTCATCCGCCTGCTCAAGTGCACAAAAGCTCGGAATACCCTTGATCGCAGGCAGCTGGGACTCAGCTAAGAAGAAGAGGCTCTCGATGCGCTTGGCCGCGACGTTCGCCTCGACCATCAGATTCAAGACCCAGGGGATTTGGAAGAGAGGCTCCTGCACCATATTCATCAGCGCAATCGCCGTGAAGGCCTGCCGTGCTACCAGCGACTCCTCTGGGTGCAGCCACCAATAGGACGCAAACATCAAGGCCGTGCAGCACGGCACAATGCTGGTCCAAATCGCCTCAAAGACCGTATAGATGCTGTAAAGCCTCCAGAGCCACAGTAGTTCCGCACTGCGTGCCTCCTCCACTTTGGCCGTGGCAGGTTCCTCCCAGCCGTAGCATTTGATGATGTTGATGGAGCTAATGATTTCGCTCACCTGCCGGACCCTCTCGTCGGTTTTGGCTTGCTGCGTCTCATCGATGCGGTTCATGATGTACATCAAAGCCGGATTCCTGGGAACATGATCTGCAAGAGAGAATGGAGGATGATTTCCTACCTGTGGAAACGCAGATCCCCTGCGGTTTTAGGAAGTTCGCCAAAGGAAGAAGAACCCCTTTTGAACGTTTCTTGCTTTCAGGATGCAACAAGATCACCACACCCATCCAGCTGAGTCCGATGAAGACAGAGGCACCCATGAGCCCATGCAGAGAGACCAACGAAATGACCACCTCGGCGGTAGAGCTGGGAAACGACATGCAGCTATCACCCCCTGAGCCGATTCCCGCGGTGAAAGTAGAAGGGTGAACAGGGGCGAGTTCCTCGGTATCCGGTGAAGTCCGGTGACAGCGGTATAGATCAATGATTGAACATCAACATTGGTGACCCCTAACCGTGAACAACCTGTCAGCTCAGGCTCAGGCAATTCTGTTCATGGATGTGAAGCCGGCTTATTCTGGCCCAAAAACAAGGCCCAGTTGACGGGATGTGGTGCAGATCATCTTGGTCAATCTTCTTGGCAGTTGGCAGTCCGAGTTCATGAAGTGAATTCTACAGTGTGAGACCCCTCTCACTCAATCTACCTCGCGTTCTTTGACCGTTTTTCTATGGGGACCCCACCCCTGGAGTAACCGCCCCCACCGCTGGACTGGACTATTTGGGCGCCTGGAGGGGTGCTGTCAAGAGCAGCACGTGCAGCTCGCGGAGGGCGCGCTTCGCTTTGTCGGCATCGGTGGTGATCATGTTGTTCAGCTTTCCGCTGGAGAAGTTCATCATCGAGTCGGAACGCAACAAGATCACCTACGGGGTTGTCGTGGTTGTCGGGGCCGATTCAAGGAGGTGAAGGTTCATGGGGGTGTCCTGGTGTCCTCATGAGGGAGGTGCCAAAAGCACTTAGGAAGGTAAAAGACCCTTTTCGGCAAAGAATGAGATGTGGGTCTGATCAGCAAGATTAAGATGTTGGGGTCTGAAGCTCATGGGACACAAAATGTCAACATCATGACCAAGACTGCTTGGGATCCTTCTTCTTCCCAAAAATCAGTGAGGTCACCTTTCTGAAGATAGAAGCCGTCAGGGAGGCCCTGATGCGATTGCCGCAGCTTTGCAAACCCAAGCTCGCAGAGGCATCCAAGAGGGCCGTGGCAGCTTCAGCGAGGAAGAGCAAGAGGCTCAAGAGCAAACCTGTTGACTCAGCTGGATGCGTATTTCAATAGGGAGATCCCCAATGGGTTTTGGTCTATGTCTCTTCCTTGGGGTCTTTGCAGGTCTTTGGGAGGTCTGCCGCAGTTTGAGCTACACACTCAGCTGACTGGTGCGACGAACGTCGCGGCCTCGACCGTCGCGGGGTCCCAACGCCGAGTCGCGAGCTCCCATCGCAAGCGGCCAACGCCGAGTCGAGGATCCAATCGCAGGGTGCGAGGCCATCGGCTCTTCCCAAAAACACATCAAATCTGTGGTTGACATCTCACACACCATTGGATTTGCCCCATCTAGGTTGGTCAAAGCAAAGACCTTTCACTTGTCGCGTTTTTCCGGCCGCAGGCCCTGCCTTCCCAAAGGCTTGCGTGTTCCTCCTGGCAGGGTGGAAAGCTGGTGGTTCGTGTTCTTTTCATGGTTGCTTCTGGTTTCTTGAATTCAGCAACGGCTTACCAGGTGTGTTATCCAGGTGAAGCTCGGTCTATTCACAGCAAGCAGTTGTTCTCCCGGCCCCTGGGATCAACACCAGTTATATATCTTGGAACAAGAAACAAGGGACATCCGTCAACAGCATGGGGGATCAGACCCCATCCCCAAAAAAAACAGAAAACACTAAAAATCCGCCCAAACTGGCCCTGGCCCTGCCTCTACAAATTGCACCAACTTGTAGAGAAAGAGAGGAAAGCTGAACTCCAAGATCGCTTGTAGCACCCTTAGGAGCCACAATCGCCGCAGCCGGGGCACGTGAAGCCTCCACAGGACTTTCAAGAGCCGCCATCCAGGACGTCCGCGTCCAGCTCGAACCTGCTCAAAAATGGGCTCAGATGGACTTGATAAAAGGTTTCTTGACATGAAATGCCTTTCAGGGCAAAGGACCCACGTGAGAAAACCTGCCTGACATGGTGGCCCAAACCCCTCTGGGTCCAAAAAATACACATGGTCTTATTGACTGAATTAAGGCAAAAACCTGTTTTATGAACAAGTTCGTGCCATCTGGTCCGCGTCAAGCTATTTCGGTTTGTCCCTCAACGGGTCATCAGTCATTGTCATCATTGGTGCTTTTGGGATCACCCTCATGTTCAGGCAAGGGGCCACCCAAAAAACCAGGATTTGAAACCATAAGAAGGCCACGACTTTGAAGAAAACACTGGACTTTCCCAGAAAAACAGGAATGTCCTGGAACTTTTTTGGTCAACTTCCAGCTCTGTAAAACCCTAATCTCTGGGACAGAAACAACCGAAAAGGCCCGTTTCGGCCGGCCAGGCGCCAGGCACCAGGCACCAGGCGCCAGGCGCCTGGCAAGGACTCAGCTCCGCACCTGCTCTCTCCACTGGTCTTGAAACGCACGCTGAAGCACTTCTGGATGCGCCTCACCCTCCACCTGAAGGCGGCCAAACCCCACACTCCTTTGACACCAAAAATAGCCTGAGGATGCCCCAAAGAAACGCCAACAAATCCGTAGGAGTTCTTTTCTCGGTTCTGATTCATAGCAGGTTTCCCTGAACAGTGGCCAAAAAAACAATGTATTTCTGGATGAACTTCAGATTTACCCTTGAAGTTGGACGCCAAAGACACCTCAAAGAGCTCCGAGGGCTGCAGCCGCTCCGCGCGCAGAGAGCGACGCAACAGTGGAAAAACCCAGGTGAGGAAGAGACGGGAAAAGCATGACCCCTGATAGGGAGCCAGCGGTTCCTGAGTTTTCAGCAAGTCCGTGCTTGGTTTTCAAACGTTTTTTTTCTAATATGGCCAAACAAGGGGTTGCGTCCAACCATCGGTGGTCAATGAGTCAGGGAACACGGTGGCAACTACACATCGGTCGATTCCACTGGTGACATTGGATGGGAACAGCCTGCCTGGAGTGCTGCGTCTGAGTTTGCACCTTTTTGTTGGAGAGTCACCCAGTCTTTTGCCATGTGTGGGTGGCTGATGCAGACGGAAAGCATTGCGGACTGCGGAAGACTTAGGCCGAAACTCGCAAAACCGAAACAGGACCCCAAAAGAGCAAGTCTGCAATCTTGCCACCTATCCAAGTGTTGGACTCTAGCTGATGGACGTAAACCAAAATGTTTGCCACTGCGCCAGAGGGCAAGGGCTTCCAGTGACAATGGGATGGCCGCTCCACGTGCACTCTCCAGGTCCATGGCAGCGAAAGGGTTAAAGTGTTTTTTTGAAGTGATTGCCAGATCTACACCTTGGCAGTTTTTCTATCCGGAAAAACAAATCCTACAGGTGTCTTTCTCTACATTCACTTCTCGCTGATGACTAGGAAAATAGGATCTGCGGTGACCTGTGGGCATCGATGAACCCGGCGAAGCGATGGTGGGGGGGTGGGCCGCACCGGGAAGTTCTGAAAATGCTTCGGCCAAAAGGAAATCATGAGAAAGATCACACAATGCGGGTGGATTCTTGCAAACGACTGAAGACAAATACATTGGACCTCAGACTGGTTGGAAAAGCTTTGTTCATTGCGGGTTGATTTTGCATGTTTGGTGCCACGGGTATGTTCTTCACTTAGGACACAATATCTCCAAGTTTTGCTGGCGATCTGATCTGTTTTCACAAAACAAGGTAGATTGGATGACATGTTGTTTGGGTCGATCAAGTGTGGATATGCATGGACGCATGTATCACAATTCTGGTGCTTCTTTCAAAAGACAAATCCTCAGGGCCGAGAGGTGTTTGATGAGCACTCCAAAAACCCTAATATTTTCAGCCAACATCATTCTTCATGCGCACTAGTTCAGCTCCAACCTAGGTTGAGCCCCAAATCGATGCAATTCAATGGCTGCTGGCCATCGTTTGCCAAAAACTCGATGCGCGTGGAGGGAGGACCTCGTACTTGGTAGCGGCTACCACCCACACAATCAAACCCTTCAACGACATTCAACACATGAGCTCACATGTCAGGTCGTGTTCGGTGGCCGTCCAGGCACCTGAAGCTTGCCACTTCCATGCTTTGTTGACTTGAATGGAAGTCAGGGAAGTGGACTTTGAACCTGCTAGGAGCTGGTGGGGATCTCCACAGCACGCCTCGCGCTTGATAACTTGCACAAGTCGTTGCCTCAGAAACCTCCTTTTCGAGGAATTCCCACCGGGGCAAGCTGTCTTTGATTAGGTGCAACCACGACGAATCTCCGATTCCAATCTTGTCAAAGCTTGACTGGAAACCTGTCTGACCTTCATCGGTTGCCGCTCGAACACTCCGTTGTCGTTCAGCATGTCTCGCTGGACGACAGGCTCGCTTCACCTCTTGGACCTCTAGGCCGCCCTCCCGCCCCTCTTCTGGAAAGGAAGCTTAGGTATTGACCGACTCCTGCGGGGTCTTTGACCGACTCAGGCAAAGGAAAACTTGAAAAATGGGTTCCTTCTATTGTTGGTGATGTACGTCCAGTACAATGACGGTTTGGACGGGAGCGTGTCACGCGGTCGAAAGCCGCTTGGATGGTTGCACTGGTCATCACTGCGTCAATCAAAAACCGGCATGTCACATGTGCACATCTTTTAGGGAAGTCTGGCGTATGGCGCAACAACATGACACACACGTAATTTCGCAACATCGTCTTCCATCCTACCTTGCTGGTCAGTATCAGCATCACTGTGTTTTTTGTAAAGTTTTGATTTATTTGTGACTGTCGCAAATTGTGCGGAGTCTCCAAGTTCAGAATCATTATATTTGTTGAGGTGTGTGGCACATGTGTGGGATGGCGTTGCCACGTTGTGGAAACTGTGTCTGCATGGTTTCATGCTGTCAGAAAACGACAAGCATAGTGTCATGGTGTGTAAACGTGGCGTGTCGCTTGCAAGAGGGGCGACAGTCCAAGCCAAGCCCTCTGCTCTGAGCTCATCGCAAACGAACATTCCGAACTATCAAAGCTTGTTGGTAGGGATTCGTTAAGGGCAACCAAGCGGGGTCTTTCATGGAACAAGCAGGGAATACATCGGTTGGGAACAAAACCACTACATGTGAAGACTTACCAGCACTTACAAGCTTTTGGCCTCCAAACAAACACACTTTCCTCCACTCAGGTCACCTTTAGTGGGAACCCCTGCTCACACAATTAAAACAACCCCAAACCTAAATAAACAATAAACCCAAAAGAACTGGTATCTTGCTGATTGAGCATTGGCAGCATGCGGCACTTCGCCAAAACCAACGAAACTCTTGCGGAACCGGCTTTGAAGCTCCGCAAGAAAGTACGACATGACCCAATTTGCCGCGACTCACAGTGACGAAATGTTAGCACGTTGGTGTGACTCATGCCAATGTGACAATATGTCACCACAACACCCGACAATTTGGCGTGACCCTGCGCCGGCAAGCCAGCGTAACAACATCAATCATGTCATTGTCTCTGCACATCTCCATGATAGCAAAAACAAACCTGCGGAAACCGGTGTGTTGCACATGTGTCCTTTTGCTGGACCCATTGTAGAGGTCCAATATTTTTACATGTCAGCAGTACGCTGTGACAACAACAACCACAACAACAACAACATCATCATCATCACAGCGGCATCTCAACTCACACACAAAACGCCACCTCTAGAACTTGGAACTTGCTCATATCATCATCGGAACGGAACTACCTTTGGAACCTGCTCCAACACCTGCTCTGACTTGCAACCTCTCGGCTGCCGGAAGCTCCGGAACCATGCTCTCTGCTCTGGAACTTGCTCCGGAACCTGCTTCGACCTTGCCAGGAATTTGTTCAGAACTGGAAACTCACTTGGAAACCTGCCCAAAACTGCCAGCAAGGTGTGATTCCACTTTGGCCTCATATCTTTCCCCTTCGCACTTCTTTATTTTGGGCAACAGAAAGCTAAAACGTTGCGGCAGTGAAACAACCAGATGGAAGTGTCGGCTACATGTTTGACTCCAACTGCTGGAATTTGCACCTTCATTCGCTTTGGAACAAATGTAGGCAAAGGGAAACCGAAGTTGCCAGCATCGATGTTTGCAGAAAAAGCACGAGAAGCAAACAGACCTACACGCGCCAAGGGACCCTTGGCAATGTGAAAGCTGACGTTTGTTTTGGACTACGGCGGCGCGTTGCATTTTTTTGACTGTTGCGGCGCGTTGCAAGGTCGAGGCCAAACGTCACCTGGAAAAATTGAGGCTGTGAAGGGCTGAAGGAGTAAAACTGTGCATCTTCAAACAACTATAAAAGGTTGAAGGGCAGAAAGTTGGGAATGTATGAAGAAAACCCAACCCTGTCGAAAACAGGTGAAACAAATGCAATGACATGTGCCACTGCTCAAAAGTGCTGCAAGATGCAGCATGAACACATTAGTGGCGGTGGGTATGCATCAACACCATCACCATTGCAACTTTGCTTGAGATCGTGCAAAGATCATTGAGCATTCCAAAATTTGCGAAAAACGTGGGTAGCAAACCTTACGGTAAATACACTTCCCCTGGGTCTTTAAGTTCACAACAGGTCTTTGTAGATGAGTCCGGTACACTCCAAAGGTCGTTCTCACACTCTCGAAACTCTTCAAGTCAACAACAACTGAAGCTAACGCAGTGCACTCCCCCGCGCCCTTTTTACACACACTTGAGCCAAAAGTAACAGCCATCGAACGACTGTACATATGCATATGTCACACAAGCAACTCTTTACAAAAAGTTTCTAAGCACTCGAAAACGCTAAAGAACTCTGTCAGAATTTCAAGAAACAAACTGTAGTGTTAGAGTCAGGCTCTCTCCCTTTCAGAACACAAACCACAGAACACAAACAACAAAAACCAAACAAAGCAACAAGCACGAGCGAGGTGGCCATCCGACAAATGGATTTTTTCACCCCTTCTTGGACACTTCGCTCAGAACAACAGTCTCACTGCCCTATGGAACTGGGCAATGGTACACCACTCACCGTGGTAGGCACTTTCTTCAAACGACTATGAAAATCAGGATGCTCACGACGCCGACTCAGACAGAAGGGCAGCAGGCTGCCACACATGACTCCCGCTGCAAAGACCATAGCGGCCGCGGCGTCCAAGCTAAGCATTGTTCCCACATCCAGGGCCATCATCATACCTCAGGACGGCAAGAACTTTCTGCCATAAGCAAAAACACGTGCCATTCTGGACTCAAAATTGCATTATACTCTTCGAGATTGATTCAGTTTGCAATCCTTTCAGGATTAGCTCGCAAAGCTTCTTGGGACAATGCTGCGTCTCCTTCCAACTGACATCTTTGGAAGACAAATGATCATGACGACCGTCACAGACACAGACCTTAAGACTCTCAAGCAAACAGGTACTATCAGTATCTATTCTCCATGCCTTCTTGGCCAACTGATTCTTTTGTACCAAATCGACTGAACATGCTTCAACGAAAGTGGAACACAAAGCTCTCTTTCTCAGAAACTCTTTCGTCTGACTCCATCCCCAGTAAGCGCATCTTTTTTTCCACGAGTGCGGACGCCATGTGGGCGGTGTGCCCAGGTCATCCCCAGTAAGCGCATCGCCTTGGCCATTCAATCGCCACGAAATCAGCTACTTCTGACAAACGTTGCAAACCTTTCCAATGTTTTTTTGGGTTCGATACAATTCTCGAAGATGACTCATGTAATCCTGACCATACTTCTTGAGACAAATATATTGAAACGGACATCCTCCAGTGCACGGAATCGACGACCATAAGACATAGCTTTCCTTCTTCTTGCGACTCAACATCGACTCTCTTGTCTCTTCGATCGTGTCCGCACGTTCCGTGATCTGCCTCCGTCATCGTCAAGACTTCAACACCTTCCAATCGTTCTCCTTCAGCCTTTCGGATGCCGGCGACGTGCAAAACTCAACAATGACAAGACTCTTGCAGAAACCTTCTCCAAGATCCAACACCATCACCTGATCAAATCAGATGGAGAATTCAATCACTCAGATCGGCGTAATTCTCTGCACCTCAAAACATGTGATGGAGTCGTCCTGCAAACAATGACCCATCCACAAGCCCCACGCCTCGCAGCGCCCCCCAACCAAAATTTTTTGCACGAGTCAAGGCGCTGTGTGGGCTTGCTGTGGTGGAACTGCCTGTTTTCCAACGCTTCTTCACACAGTTCTCTTCCCACCACTCCTGTTTCACAAGTTCCTGTGGGCTTGATGCCTTTCACTGGACCTGTGTGGGTTTTCTTTCAGACCTCTGTAGAGCTTCGACCCACTTGAGACGCTCGCTGTGCCACACACACATCCAGTTCGTTGCACTGTACCAACCTGCCAAGCAGGTGGAGAGAGACCAATTGTGCTCTTGCACGCAGCACTTTCCGAACTGCTGGCTGTGTTGCCAAGGAAGCTCCCTCGACACTGCTCATGTGCTTGGGCCTAGCACTTGCTCTTTTTTTTTGCACGAGTGGCCCATGCAGGAGCGCCTGTGAATTGCACTTTTTCCACGAGTGCGGACGCCGTGTGGGCATGGTGCCCAGGTCATCATTGAAGGAAGGGAAAAACAGTCAGATGGTGGAGAAAAAGGACAAAGACAACCCAACAAACAAAAAACAACCGCAAACCACAGCCCACAGGCCGAGTCCACCATCTTGTAGTCTTTCCTCTATGCTGGTGAAACAAGTGAGACGAAAACTACTGACTATCAATGGGCCTGAATTCTCGAACGAAGAGCATGGCAGCGCGGGTTTGTGCTCTAGCAAAGTCTCCAAAAAGTCTTCAAATGGACTTCACCTCTCAATTACCAGTGACCAGCGGCCAAAGCACGGTGTGGCAAAACCATGGTCACGATGCAGGTCCGGAGCATTGCTATGCTCCAACGCCGGTTGCATCCATGTCAAAATGGATCAGTGGTAGCTATGCTTCATGCCGTGGAAAAAACCTTTCTTGTAGCACAACCCATTCAACTGGTTGCACTTACAAGTCCAGAGGCATGTTAGTTGGTGGTGTTCAGACAGTGGCGGCCATAGCAAAGCCTGCAGGTAAGGGTGCGAAAGGCACACCCCCCCGAAGGGAGGTCATCTCAGCACCCTTCGGCACCCGGAGGTGCCAAAACGGGGTGTCCCCTAAATCCGTGAAATGCTGCGTCATTGTCTGCTGCGTGCAAGGCCCGTGTGAAACAGGTAAAACGTTGGACCTATCCTAGCATGGTATCTGTACCTCTTTGTACAAAATTGGAAATGTCTCTCCATGACACACTTGAGATTTTACTCTTCAAGTATGGTGGAGAGCCCGTGCGCATTTGTCAGCCCTCGCAGTCGTCCTCCTGGTATCGCTCCATGTTTGGTTTTCAAACAAACCCCCAGGGAGTTGGAACGGAACATTTATGTGCTTTTGCAATCCAACAGGAACGCATCTGCACAATTACTGAAAAGCCGTGGGCGCATAGTTTTGTTGAGCCAGGATGTGCTTTGTGGCGACTTTCCCACCTTTTGTTAGCAGCAGAGAATCAGGTATGCAAAGAACCCTTTGCAAATGTTTGTCATCTTGCGTTAGGGAACTTTCCTGTCATTCTTATTGGGGGGCTCCTTCAGGATTGGTGCCTTAGCATCTGTCCTGAAAGTGCACGGGCAGCTCACCCACGACTCCAAGAAAATATCTGGCAAACAGATAAATTGCCCAATTTCTGTCTGCTGCTTATCCACCAGCTCGAAGCCCCTGAAGCCAGCAGTTGTGAACGGCTGATTTCCCTTACGCCTACACCACACACCCCGCATCCAGTTCTTCCTGCGACC